GGGGGGGGGGGCAGGCAGAGCAGGGGCACCCTCCTGCCCTGCGGCTGTGCTCTGGAGGTGCTACGCAGACACTACGACCTCCGCCGGGGTGGGCAGGGAGAAATCCCGGACCTGCAGAAGGCTGAGCAGCGTGGACGGCACGGCCAGAGCCACCTCTCTGCCCCGTCCCACGGAAACCCAACCGCGCTGCGGCCGCGCTTGTCCCAGGGCGGCACAATCTTATGCAGGGGCTCCCAGCATCTCCCTGTGCCACCCCAGCGCTGGGGCCCCAGGGGCTCTCTGGGCTCCCCCTCCCCGCCAGCTCTTCCAACAGCAGCGAAGTGCCGACAGCCGAGGTGCCGGCAGGGCCTTAGGGGGGATTTTCTTTAGGAGCAGAAACCCGCTCGCAGCGGCGGCGAGAGCAGAGGCGCAGGACAGTGGCAGGGACGGGGGGGCGCGTGCGGGAGCAAGGACACGGAGGAGGGCAGGGTTGCAGGGCGCACTCCAATTTCATTTTAGCAAAGCTGATTATTATGGCAAACACGCCGTGTATTTGTCTCCTCCGCTCCCCTTACTGTTCATTTAACCAGAAACTTCTTTCAAATTACATCCTTCTATTTCTGTGCCTTTGTGTTAATCATTTCCCCAGAGAATTGGTGTTTAATTGCTGTCTAATTTGCATAATTATGCATATTAATCTCTACACCTAATGAATATTCATAATTCTCATTTAGATTTTGTTTTCTAATCAAAAATTTCCAATGTGATTACTGTGCAGAGCAGGGATAAGCCTCTAATAATACCTTGGATACTAGGGAGAATTACTGCCAATTCTCCCACCTCCTACTTCCTAGAATAAACTTTTGCTTTGCTAATGTGTTTTTCTAAAGCAATTCATCTGCATACCCTGCAAACACCAGCGGAGATCAGGAGGCAGAAATGCTCCTTCTATTCATTTTGCTTTCATGAGTATTTTTAAAGCTCCCCAACGGTCAGGGCGAAGACATGAGCAGGAGCCGCAGCCTCAGACATCCTTGGCAAACCCACCCCTTTGCGCTGGAAGGACGAGGACCGCAGCACCCACCAGGCTTTGGCTGCGCCCGGCGTCCCCATGAGGCGCCTCGCGAGCCCCAAAACCAGAGGGGAAGCTGAGGCACGGGTGTCCCAATCCCCACACCACACAGGACGGGCATTTGTGGGTGCTGGATCACCCTGCCCTCCCGCAGAGCCACCCCCAGTCCCATCTCAAAGCCACCCAAGGCCAGGATGGCACTGGGAGAGGATGCTCAGTGGGGCAGGCCGTTTTTCACAAAATTCCTGGGATTAAAAAAAAAATAAATAAATAAAAATTATCAGTGCCAGGCCTCCCCAGTGAAGGAGGGAAGAGGAGACAGCAAGTGGTACGGGTGACAAAAGCTGAGGCCAAGAGGCTCGAGTGTGCCCTTAGACACGGAGAAACCCTCCGCACAAGCTACTCGCACGCTGCGGGGCCGCCCGCGTGCCCCGAAGAGGGGTCAAAATCCCAGCGGGTGCACCGACGAGACGCACGTGCCGCGGCAGGTTGTGGGGGACAAGCCGCTCTCCCCTGCGTGAGCCCCGCTGCTCTCGGGGGGATGCGGGGCGGGGGGCTGGAAACCCCGACCTCCTCCCATCAGCCCTGCAACACCCAACGGGGCGGCAGGCGCGGCCAGATCCTGCGACAGCAAACCAACCCCTGGGGAAACCCAAAAGGCCTTTTCCTCCTCTCCCAGGCACCGGTGTTCACGTGGTCGTGCAGCTGCCAAGGTGAAGAGAGGTTATCGCTCTTCCACCCGCGCAGCAAAGCAAGCGGCCCCAAAGGCTCAGCCGCCTCCAAACGTGCCCGTGCCAGCCCCGCTGTCCAAAGCCTGCGGGAAAAAAAGAGGTCTCACGCCTTCCCCCGAGCTGCAGTCACCAGCATGGAAGGTGCTGGCAAAAATCTCCCATTTTGAGCCCGCAGGTGTTTTAAGAATTCGGGGATTTCTGGGACAAAGCCAGAAAAAAAACCAGACTGTCCGCTTTCAACTTCTGGCATCTGTCCTACATTCGGTGCCAGCCTGCTCTTCCCTCCCTTCGCATCCAAGTAAGGATCTAAAATTTGGCAGCAAATACCCTCTGACAACCCTGCAAAAACCCCAAAGTTCGGCCAAAGGCAGGTGCTCCGGGAGAAGGCCCCATCAGCAGGGTTTTGCTCCGCTCGCACCATGAAGTCCCCGAGGACGGTGCCACCACCCGGCGCGGTCACGCTCTCCCCAGCCCGCGGTGCTTCACCGGCGTGGGCACGGAGCCGCCGGGCTTGACCCAAAGGGAGGAAGAGGAAGGGGCGAGAGGATGGGGAAGCCTGGGGTGAGGAGGACACGGCTCAGGCAGCACCAGGGCTCTCCCTGAGAGCTCGCCCAAGGGCGCTCAAACATCCCACCTGGACCCTTTGGTCCCAGCAGCTTGGGAGGCCAAGCCAGGAGCCCGGGGCACGGGCAGAAGCTCCCCGGGGCACCCAGCGATGTGTTTCCCGACTACGGGTGCTGCTCATGTGCTGCTGGGGCTCCCCCAGGTGAGACAACACCCGGCAGACATCTCCCTCACCCCCCCAAAACTCCGCCTCACCCCTGCCCACGGATCTCCTGCGCTGAAGCACGCACAGTCCCGGGCAAAAAAAAAAAAATCATAAATCCAAATCACCAACCGCGAATCATGTCAAAACTCACGTGACACGGAGCTGAATGATGTTTGCACAAGCGAGCTTAATTCTGGCATATCCCGGCTTCTGAGTGCTTGGCTTTGCAACATTTACACGGCTCTTCCAGCGCAGGGTGTGTGTGCAGTTTCAGAGACGCCCATGCGTGCGCGCAGCTGTCGGGAGCCAACTTCATTTTAAAACAAACCCATTTTCCGACTAACCAAGTTAAGGCACACTTCCCAATTCAGAAAAGACCAAAATAGGAACTACCTCCTCCTCTCTCCATTAATACAGTTATTAAAAAAGCGTACAGATTAATTGTGCATTTTAATAACCCTGATCATGAATATTCATAACACATTTCTTGCTCATGTTCTAATTAAAACATACTAATAGAATAAGATGTAGCTGTCAGACAGTAATTTTTTTATTTTTTTTTTCCCCCTGACGGTTTTTGTGCTGCGGCTAAGAAGAGCTGATAGACAAGAACCGTCCTAAGCTCTCAGCATGGATAAAAATAATTTGCCCGCATCTAGTCTCAGCAAAAAAAAAAAAAAGCCGCTCACCTGATAACAAGCCATAGTAAAAGGCTGCGCACAAGTGACCAGCGACACGGGGCACCGGGAGCTGATCCCTCCCCCGGGAGGAATGAAACCGCTCTCAACGCAAAACTCTTATTAAACAAGAGAAGACGCTGAGGACCGTGTAGCGTTTTCTGTCCCATCCCCACATCCCAGCAGCCACTTACGGTCCCTCCCGCGCAGTTCCCGGGCTGTGGCTTCCTGCCCTCACCCACAGGGTCCACAGAGCTCAAAACGCTGCACCAAGAGATGCTGCTCTGGTTGCAGTAACACCCCCCCCAAAAGCTACCCGGGCACACGTGCTGGCCAGCCAGGAGCCCCGAGGTGTTTTGCAGCTCCGAAACCCCCAATCCAAGCACAGCACCGGGATGCGGCTTGGGAGAGAGCGTGGCTTCAGTGCCAGCCTCTGCTCTGCCCACCCAAGGCCAACACACGGCCTTTGCGTTCAAGCCAAGGTCTTTCAAAACAAGCCCAGTCCCTAATGACTCCTCTGTGAGCAAAGAAAAAATGTTTCCCGGCAAGAGTGGTCCGAGAGTGGAACAGGCTGCCCGGGGAGGGGGGAGTCCCCATCCCTGGGGGGGTTTCAGGGCCGTTGGGATGAGTTGGGGGGGATGTGGGGTCGGGGAGAACTTTGTGGAGTCGGGCTGAGGGTTGGACTCGCTGATC